TTAGTACACATTGTCTTTAGGGTGTCTAGTATTAATATATGAATTAGCATATATTCAGTTTTGTTGAGTGTGTGGTCACAGAGTGAGTAAATATGTTAACAGTGAACTTGGGTTTACAATATAAAACCAATTGCAGTTGTTGCACTAAAATGTTGCAATGACAAAATGTTGCACTATATTAAGAGTTCAAATGTTACAAGATGTTGTAATACTAGCACTAATATAAAAATTGTATGATGTATGTTACAAAAAAGTAACCGTTTTGAAATTTGTTGTATTTTTTTGTCTTTTATCTCAGTATTCCGATCAATGTTGTATTTTGATACATAATAGTAACACTAGAATGTGATCAAACCGTTTTCAATAAAGCAGAGAGTTCCGGTGCTTGACTCTGATTGGCTGAGCCGCGTTCGAAGCTGTTGTAAATGACGCTACAAAGTAACACACACCTTTGTTTACGTTTGTGTGTTGCTCGGCAACCACTTTGTAGCAACCACAACTGTTTCTGAGGAGCTACATTGTTTGGTGGAAGAATACTGTTTTTATTAATATCTTTACACTTTATTTGCTCCGTTTTATTTTGTGAAACCTTGCTGGGCTAAGATATATTATAATTTGTATGACTTCAGAAATATGTTAATTCAGTACACGCATTATCCCACCGACCATAAAACACAATGTTTCACACATTTTTCCAAAAGAAATGCAAAAAATAATGATTGATTATTTCAAAGCGTTACTAATGACGCATCATTTGGATATTGGCGTGTCTGGGAAAAATTTGGGATTAAATGGGCTAACCCTTACAGTAGTAACCAATGAGTTAAAGCTGAGACGTGTTTTGTGTTTTCAGGACTGTTAACGGCAGCAAGAACGACGGCAGTCCTGTGCCCTCGTCAGCGCTGCCTCTGATTGGTCCAGCAGCTGTGAGTGACAGAGGGCTGGACCTATCCAGTAACACTGTGGATCAGTCTGACCAATCCAAGTGTCCGATTCAGACCGAGGAAGACAAAGAGACGCAGGAGACCAAAAACGATCCTTAGGAGCAAAACGAAAGCTGTAGAGAATGTCATGCGTGCCGTTGTTTCGTCTGTCTGTTCACCGTTTGTTTTGTTGCAGAACAACATCGGCTGCTTCTTGAGTATTTGGTTTAAAAAGCTAGATTTGTGGAATGTGACGATCCCGGTTTGGAGTGTCGCTAGATGTTGATGTGTCGCGTTTGTTCAGTTGCTGAATCTTACACTGAATTTTACAAAGTGTGACTTGGTCCCTCAGGACAGATGTTGATATATTGGTAACCAATAGTGAATGAAACCGCGAGTCGAGATTCCGATCGAATCGCGAGTCCCTCCGTTCGCCGGTTTAGCCGTAAACCAGAGATTTGAATTCCAAACGCACTTTTTTGTTACATTGATTTATTAAAATAAGCATCCGTAATGAATGATGTGTGAGAATCGAATGTCTTCCGCGATGGCACACGCTGATAGTCTTGAAGACGGCGTGTCGCGATTCACGTCCGCTTCAAACGAGAGACGATTCCTCCGGAAGATTCTCGGATGACGGGAGGGTCTCGGATTCGCTCGGAACGTCGCCTGGCGGTTTC